CCCTTCAAGAATCCCTGAAAGGAACCCTTGAAGGAGCCGCCCTCTTCTATTTATAAAGGCCCCCTTCTGTTCAGGGTGTGCTTCGCCTCTGTTTGCGCTGTGCTCAGGACATCCTTCCGACGCGCTCCGTGCTCGAAGCTTAGGGCTCCGCACGAGGTTTTACGGGGGTTTGAGGGTGCAGTGGGTAGGGGCCATGTAGGGTTGAGGGGTTTTAGAGTGTAGGGATGGGGTTTTAGGGGCTTTGGGGCTTGGGGCGTTTGGGGTTTAGGGGTTTGGTGTGTAGGGATTGGGGATTTGGGATGTGGGGTTTGGGGTTTTGTGTAGAGATGGGGGTTTAGGCATTTGGGGTTTGGGGGGTTTTAGGGTGCCAGGGTTTAGAGGGCAGGGATTCGGGATTTGGAGTTTGGGGGTTTAGGGTTTAGGGTCCAGGGGGTTTTGGAGTCTAGGGATGCGGATTTAGGCGTAGAGTCCTAGGTCCTAGTTTGTAAGTTCTGGGAAAGGCTGGGGCCACTGATTCGACGCCCGGAAACCAAGGAAACAAAAGGCCAGTTCCAGAGCCTCCTGCCATCCGCAAAACGCCAGCGTTATCGTCAGCATCTGCTCTTTCATGATTATCATGACTTAGATGATTATGCTGTTTATTGCGGGTACTGTGCTTTTGTGGCTAGTATGATTCGTACGACCATCACTGCTAGAATTGTCAACTGCATTCTCATCAGTATTGTTTAACCGTTACTTCACATGATCTCGGACCTGGCCCTGAACCTCTAAACCCCCTTAACCCTACACCCCAAACACTGAAGTGGCTGTGTGTCGGCGAAACGAGGCACGCCAGACGGCCAAAAGAGCGTTGTGGCAAACAGCACCGGGACTCAGCGGTGCCCGTTTCTTGAAGCTTGCGGGCTAAGGCTTAGGGTTTCAAGTTTTGGGTTAAGGCTCAAGGTTTAGGGAGGATGAGTGAGCCCTGAGGTTTATGCGCCAACGGTGCATCACTTCAAGGACATGATGTCCTCTTGCTGGGAGCCTGGAGATCGGCGGGGTTGTAAGCAGTACTATAAAGGGGTACTACAACCGTTGCTGCAAGGGGTTGCTAGAACGGGCTACAAGTAGGAATTATTACAAGAGGTACTACAAGTGTTACTGTTTTGCCTTTGCTTCCCAGGTCACAGGGCCGGTCAAAGAAATCTGGTCTTGCAGCAAGAGTGGCCCGGGACCCATACCGGCTGCTTACATGTGCCACAGCGTCCTGCGTTCAGGCTTTTTCCCAGACAACCAAGTTTGATATTGGCCTCCAGTGATGCTCAGGTCATCGTTCGAAGCTTTACCCTGCCGGGAGGCAGCCGGTGTGGATGGGGCAGCAAGCAGATGCAAGCGGGCACGTCTTCCTGTGGCTGTTCGATGCCCGCTGAGATTGTTACTATGACCGCCCCCGTTTTGTGATTCTACTGCAGGCACATCACGAAAGTCTTGCTATGAACTGGCTTGCTGATGTTTCCATTGTTATTTGCCGTTCTTCTTATGAGGCGGTCTTTCTGCTTGGCTTCTGCCGGCCGCATCCAAGATGCGCAAAGTCGCAGGAGTCCCAGCAACAGGCTTGTCAAGCTTCAGGTGCACTTTTATCATCCTCCGTATCATCTTTCAGCTTTGGTGGTGGTTTGTGTCAGTCTTGTTCTCGTTGGCATGAGGATTACCAGCATTACTCCACTGAATACCAGAAGTATCGTTGTAGCCACAATTTCCGGATTGTCGCCACTACCTGTATCTGCGGCTTCCATCAGTATCGCCATCGGATCATCATTGAAATTTCTATCACGATGAATGTCATTGTGACGATTGTCATTCCTGCCCTGTTCTGACTACCGTCACTACTATAATGACTGCCAGCACGCACGCGCAGCCATTTGATTTGCTCACAGGCAACAAAGAGATCAAACCTTTGGGTTTTCTGTCTTGGGGAAGGTTTGAAGATGGCGCAGCCCGCAGACCCCGATGAATGCGAGGCCGGGGCCTTAAATCTCGAACCCGGATCCAAGTCCTAGACGAAACCCTCTAAGCCCGGACTGTAGGCTTAAAACGACACTCAAGCCCAATCCTCAAGCCCCCAAACCACTAGTAAAGTCTTACAGTGCTTTAAGCA